ATACATATGCAGTGCTTATGAAAGAATGAGTGGCACTAGGATTAAATAAAATATGTTCCCAAGAATTATAAAGTAGAACAATACCTTCCATAACTACGTTGGAAACATCCTCATCTTGTTGCGTTAAAGCAAACACCTGACCCTGGTTGTTACCGCCTGGTGTTACAGCTCCTGGGTTCTTCTGCTAGTATTGCTTGTATGGCGAATGCTTGTTCATATTTGCATGTCCCACCATCTGGGAATTCTTTTGGGTTTTCCACTATTGGGTTGTCCCTAATGAAGAGATGGAAAGTTATTCCTAAAGTGCCCAATGACTCCACACAAATAGAATTGTCGAGGATTCGTAGTTGTCCTCTCTTGTGGGCCCCCAATTCCATGGACTGGTTGATTCCTCTACCTAATAGCCTAATCTGGATAGTGATATTGGGCCATCCTCTACATTCCTCCACTACTATTGCTAGTCCGAATGGGCCTCCTCTTGTCAAAGTCTATTGACGTCGAGTGTCTTCCGTATTCCTCTACACCAGTGCAGGTAGGTCTACCAAATCTCCATAATCTTGGATTTTAAGAGCCACAAGCTTTTTTCGTATAGCAAATCTCAAACCTTGCACAATCCGTTTGACTTCCTTGGCCTCTATAGATTTGAAATCCATGGTATAATGAGATAGCTTGTCAAATTTTCTCTCATACTTGGCTACAATCATGTTGTAGTGATCCTTTTTTTGAATCTCAATCTCACTAGTGATCTTCCAACAAGTAAATAGCCAAGCCAACTCAAAGATCTACAACAATTCTTGTACTATCACACATTTTCTTAATTTTTTGAATCCAATTATCTGTATCCATTGAGTTGGACCTCCCCTAAAAATTAGGCAGACATTGTTGAAGAAATTCCCTCAGCACCATCATTCATTAAGTTTAGTTGCCATTATCCTGTCCAACTGCTAACAATTGCACAACCCCATTGTGGTTGTTATTCCTATTCTAGTGTTGTACCAGAGTGGTTAGCTTCTATAGACATTTGTAGATGGCACTCATGGCATCCTAAGGTGGGGGTGATAGTTAGTTTCTAGTTAGCTGAGGTAGTCATCCACGTTCTCTCCTACCGTCCATTCTACATATCAAAGAACAATTTAGGTTCCTTTGTACAACTATACAAACCAACTCACCCTTAATTCATAAACACATAAATCCCACATGATTCAAGCCTAGACTTTTCTACATTTTATACCTTGTCTTCGAGTGGATAACCCACCACTTACAACTCCCATATAAAACCTGATCCCTTGGCTCTGATAGCAAAACTATAATCACCAAAATTCACAATGGATACATTAACTATCTATGAAGCATCCAACACTATTAGAGCATACTAAATCAATCATTAAATAATAAAACTATCCATTTATTCAATAAANCAAGCTTTTTTCGTATAGCAAATCTCAAACCTTGCACAATCCGTTTGACTTCCTTGGCCTCTATAGATTTGAAATCCATGGTATAATGAGATAGCTTGTCAAATTTTCTCTCATACTTGGCTACAATCATGTTGTAGTGATCCTTTTTTTGAATCTCAATCTCACTAGTGATCTTCCAACAAGTAAATAGCCAAGCCAACTCAAAGATCTACAACAATTCTTGTACTATCACACATTTTCTTAATTTTTTGAATCCAATTATCTGTATCCATTGAGTTGGACCTCCCCTAAAAATTAGGCAGACATTGTTGAAGAAATTCCCTCAGCACCATCATTCATTAAGTTTAGTTGCCATTATCCTGTCCAACTGCTAACAATTGCACAACCCCATTGTGGTTGTTATTCCTATTCTAGTGTTGTACCAGAGTGGTTAGCTTCTATAGACATTTGTAGATGGCACTCATGGCATCCTAAGGTGGGGGTGATAGTTAGTTTCTAGTTAGCTGAGGTAGTCATCCACGTTCTCTCCTACCGTCCATTCTACATATCAAAGAACAATTTAGGTTCCTTTGTACAACTATACAAACCAACTCACCCTTAATTCATAAACACATAAATCCCACATGATTCAAGCCTAGACTTTTCTACATTTTATACCTTGTCTTCGAGTGGATAACCCACCACTTACAACTCCCATATAAAACCTGATCCCTTGGCTCTGATAGCAAAACTATAATCACCAAAATTCACAATGGATACATTAACTATCTATGAAGCATCCAACAATATTAGAGCATACTAAATCAATCATTAAATAATAAAACTATCCATTTATTCAATAAATACCTAAACCAATCCCAATAAAACATTAATAACTTCTTAAAATTACATCCCAAAATTAGAATATTATATTGGAATTAACTAATACTCATAAACATGTCTAACAAAAATTTAAACTAGAAAGGCACTCTCTTGGTCTCGACCTCCACATCCATCTCTTGATATACTGCCACATCANTCCAACAAGTAAATAGCCAAGCCAACTCAAAGATCTACAACAATTCTTGTACTATCACACATTTTCTTAATTTTTTGAATCCAATTATCTGTATCCATTGAGTTGGACCTCCCCTAAAAATTAGGCAGACATTGTTGAAGAAATTCCCTCAGCACCATCATTCATTAAGTTTAGTTGCCATTATCCTGTCCAACTGCTAACAATTGCACAACCCCATTGTGGTTGTTATTCCTATTCTAGTGTTGTACCAGAGTGGTTAGCTTCTATAGACATTTGTAGATGGCACTCATGGCATCCTAAGGTGGGGGTGATAGTTAGTTTCTAGTTAGCTGAGGTAGTCATCCACGTTCTCTCCTACCGTCCATTCTACATATCAAAGAACAATTTAGGTTCCTTTGTACAACTATACAAACCAACTCACCCTTAATTCATAAACACATAAATCCCACATGATTCAAGCCTAGACTTTTCTACATTTTATACCTTGTCTTCGAGTGGATAACCCACCACTTACAACTCCCATATAAAACCTGATCCCTTGGCTCTGATAGCAAAACTATAATCACCAAAATTCACAATGGATACATTAACTATCTATGAAGCATCCAACAATATTAGAGCATACTAAATCAATCATTAAATAATAAAACTATCCATTTATTCAATAAATACCTAAACCAATCCCAATAAAACATTAATAACTTCTTAAAATTACATCCCAAAATTAGAATATTATATTGGAATTAACTAATACTCATAAACATGTCTAACAAAAATTTAAACTAGAAAGGCACTCTCTTGGTCTCGACCTCCACATCCATCTCTTGATATACTGCCACATCAAAGTGAACATGCTCATCTAAAGTGATATCTTCCTCAAGTCCAAAATCTAAAAAATATTTATCATAGGATGAGCGAACAAAACCAGTGGAAAAATCTTCTCAAACCTAAATAAGGTTTTGAAATCATAAAACAGGTAAGTCTCAATTTATAAAATAGAATATATAATTTTGGAATAAAATAGTGACATTTAACACCGATCTCAAGTTTACAGTAGAAAATAATAAATTAATAACATAATAGACTCATTCACAAAAATCACAATTCATAAAATAACATATCATGTACATAGGTAGACTAGTATAAATCTACACACCAAATATATCTCATCCGTGCACCACAAACACAAACCATCTCAAATCAATCTCCGTAGGGCCACAACACCTTAGGAAAAGGNTTCTTGTGTTCTTCCTGCACAGCCACCTATTTCAACTACAAAATAATTGTAAACCACTACAACTCCCCCCCCATCAACACCTTGAGCCTCCAAAAATCAGGCATGGATGTATGCATAACTTAAAATGCAACTATATGCACATCCATGGATGAAATTAGGATCTAAATGCAATGCAATTTTTAAATTTAACAATAAATGCACAAAGTTATTAATAATAAAAATCACACAAGTTCATATTATAGCAAATATATTCTTATTTCATCATCCTCCTACAGTACTCTAAGGCATATTAATGAATATAGAACTCAATTTTCATGCATCCTAGATCAATTTTCTCTCTTTTAGTTCTATTTTTGACTCACACATGTTCAAATTTTGCGTATTTGATCAATGCATGTGTCATGTGTGTCGAACCAAACTCTGACACCAACTAGAAATCCTTCTTAATGTATCTTCTACGTGAATACATAACCTGTTAGTTAGTGTCATATTTAAATCTTTCCTTTAGGCTTCTTTTAGACACCCCCTGTGTTTTACAACCCTTATACTCTTAATGGTCTGAATTAGCATGATTTTGAATTCCTTATTTTATAAATTATGCTTCTAAATGTGTTTAGCTTAGCTCTTTGAGATTTACATGCAAGCAATGACATTAATTATATCGTACTCCCAACTGATCAAATGCAATTGATACTAGTCATTGTTTTTATGCCACAATTCTTATATTTGACCACATTGGGCCCTTTTCTCACATTTAGCTCTTTTCTCACATTTGGCTCTTTAGAATCTTTTAAAGGATTTGGGGCTTTAATAATATTTATCTCCTAAGGTTATGCTTAGGTATCTAAGTCACTTACCATCCTAATCATGATTGTCAGATTCAAGATCGTCACCTTGTTGCCTTCAACCTTCATCATTGTCATTGATTTGTGATGGTAAATCATCAATTGCATAGTCTTCATCTTCAGTACAACACAAGACACAACCGTTTGGATACAGACTTAGACTGAGTGCTTTTGTCTTATGGAATATGCCAACACACCATATGGGCATATGGTCCTAACAAATTCCTTTCCTTAATGTTGGATTAATAGAACTAGTCCCCTTCCAACATCAGGGAGCTACTGTGAATGCAGGTTAGCTGACGACGATCTCCTCGGAAAGCATTTCCAGTTCCAGCCATGATGTGGGAATGTCAAACGGAAAAAGTTCTACAATGATTACTGTGCATACTCATCACCACCGTCCAATCAAGGAATTGGGAGTAAGAAAAGTGAGGGCAAGAGGAAAAAAAGGTTGTGAGCACTCTAATCTCATATAAAATAAGGCGTGGCAACCCACAAGTACACCCAAGGAAATCAAACGGAGTGGGGTTGCTCCTGCGTTGAAACTAGCTAATATCTTGCATAAGACAAACTCAATGGTTGGTACCCAACCGAGTTTAGCCACGTCATCATCTAAGACCCATGGGAAGGTACCCCATACGAACTCCTCAACTGATAGTCTTGAACTTGAAGTTATTGATGGTGAGGGTTCAAGCTATGAGTATACCATGGTTCTTGTTCAAATTCCAATGTCTAATGAGAGGGAGGTCTATGAGTAGTCTATCTTTGCAATGTGTGAACTTGATTAGCCAAAGGATCTTTTACTAATTCAAGTACTTGACGATTCTAAAGATGACAGTATTCAATGTTCATCTGCGTCAGAGGTTGCTAAATGGAGCCAAAGGGGCCTTAACATAATTTATCGGCATTGCTTGCTTAGAATTGGTTACAAAGATAGGAATCTCAAATCTGCCATAAGCTGTCATTATTTTAAGAGTTATGAGTTTGTTGCAATTTTTGATGCAGATTTCCAACCTAATCTTGATTTTATTAAGCAAATTGTACCATATTCCAAGGACAATCCTGAACTAGGTTTGGTTCAAGCAAGATGGGCTTTGTGAACAAGGACTAGAACTTGTAGACTCGTCTCCAAAACATCAATCTATTTTTCCACTTTGAGGTGGAACAACAGGTTAATGGGGTATTCCAACATTTCTTTGGTTTCAATGGAACTGTTGGTGTTTGGAGAATGAAAGCCCTGGTGGAGTCTGGAGGCTAGCTTGAAAGGACAACTCTAGAGGATATGGACATAGCTGTTCGAGCCCATCTCAAAGGTTGTAAGATGAAATTCTTTAATGACATAAAGGTCCTTTGTGAAGTTCCCAAGTTATATGAAGCTGACATCCATCAGCAACATCATTGGCATTCTAGTCCAATGCAACTTTTTATATTGTGTCTTTGAGCAATTATAACTTCTAAGGTACCAGCATGTAAGAAAGCAAACTTGATACCGCAGTTCTTTCTGTTGAGGAAACTTATCCTGGACTTTGATTCCTTCACATTGTTCTGCGCAATTCTTCCTCTAACCATTTTTTTCCTAGAGGTTGAGCTTCTTGTGTGGGTCATTTTTTATGTGCCTTTTTTTATGTCATTTCTCAACGTTCTTCTAGCCCCTGAATCCTTCATTTCAAACTCACTACTTAATTGAGATTTCAAACTATTGATTTCTAACATGTTGATTGCTACTAAAGACATGTCATCAACATACAACAACAAATACAAAAATGAACCATTTGAGAGCTTCCTATGCTACACACAACTTTCATAGTTACTCCTAGTGTAACCGTGTCCCACTATAAAGGTGTCAAACCATTTATACCACTATCTAGGAGATTGTTTCAAGCCATATAATGACTTCTTCAACATGCACACATGGTCTTCCTTACCCTGAACAATGAAACCCTCTTGTCGATGTAAATCCTCTCCTCAAGCTCACCATGTAGAAAAGTTGTCTTGACATTAAGCTGCTCAAGCTCCAAGTCAAACAAAGCTACCATGGCAAGTAACAGACGAATAGAACTAAAGTAAATACCCGCTCTCTGTGTAAAGCCCTTAGCAACTAAACGTGCCTTGTACCTCGCATCCTCAAAGTCTAGGATTCCATCTTTATTCTTGTAAACCCATTTGCACCTAACAATCTTTTGTCCCTCTGGTGGTTTCACAAGCTCCAAAGTCTGATTCTTATGGAGAGACTCAATCTCCTCACTCATGGTCGTCACCCACTAAGAAGATTCACTGCTAGAAACAACCTCCGTATAAGAACACGGCTCATTACCATCAAGGTCTACTATAACAGACAAGGCATAAGCAACCAGATCAACAAATCCATATCTCTGAGGTGGTCTCCTCTGGAGTCTCTTGCACCCCCTCTTGTTCACTTTGAACTGTATTGTCTTCCTGCACTGTCTCTGGAGTTTTTAATTCCAACTCCACATGCTTACTAACTTCTAGGTCTCTGTTAACAACACCAGATTCCTTTCCTCGATGGAGCATATTAGACTTATCACAAAGGTCACATCCTTGCTAGTGCCTGGGTGACTTGGGATCAACACACCACAGCCTATACCCCTTCACCCTAGATGCATAACCTAGGAATATTCAGAGTAATCAGCAGGAGAACCAAACACTCTTAAATTAGAGTAATCAGCAGGAGAACCAGACTATACCCTCTATTGAGTCTACAGCTCTATAACAGTTGATGGAGACCTATTAACTAAGTAGCAAGCTAAATTGCCAACCTCCATCCAAAAGTCCTTTGACAAACCCGCATGTGAGAGCATGCTTCTTGTTCTCTACAAGAGTTTCTTGTTCATCCGTTCTACAATAAAACTCCATTCTGCTATGGTGTATGCCTTACAGTGCATTGTCTAGCAATGCCTTCATTCTTCCAAAGCTCATTAAAATCACCTAAGTAAAATTCTAGATCATTGTTAGTCCTCAAGCTCTGCGCTTTTCTTGCCAGCCTACTTCTCAATCAAGGTTTGTCACTGCTTAAAGGTGACGAACACATCACTCTTGTGCTTCAAGAAATACACCTAAACCTTCCTTGAATAGTCATCAATGAAAGTTAACAGATACTGTGCACCACCCTTTGACACAATAGGAGAAAGACCCAAAAGATCTGAGTGAATGTAATCTAATGTACGTTAGGTTCTATGACCACCTGTACTAAACTTCACCCTACACTATTTTCCATAAACACAATGCTCACAGAAATCTAGTTTACCTGTCTTCTAACCACATAACAAACCAAACCCTGTTTGCGAAGCTCTATCAATCTCCTCTTACTCATATGCCTAAGACACATATGCCATAACTAGGTAGAAGCAGCATCTGAATCTATTGTAGATGACACATTAGCAATACCAAAAATAGTGCTTTCTTGAAGATGGTAGAGACCGTTAATCAACTTCCCTTTTATCACAACCAGGGCATCCCGAAAAACCTTCACAACTCCACATCCGCCCAAACCCATCTCTAGGCGCCAAAGAAGATCTAAGGACCCTTTCCATACTATTGTTTTAGGCTGTCAAAATGAAATGGCAATAACTTGCTTCGTCGATCAAGGAATTCAACACAAGAGTGCAGTGCAGGGCTTCCACTTAAAGAGGAAGCCCCAGCAGAACGATCAACTAAGAGTGAACAATTAGAATTGACTAAAAAAGCTAACCTCCTCTTGCTTTTGCTTTGCCCGAGAGCCCCTTGTGCATGTAAGGTCATTAATCATTAAAACTAGCAAAACTCCTAAGTATAAAGGTTAATGGTTTAGCATGCACTTGGTTTTATGATTTTTCACAAATAATAGCATTAGCCAAGCACGCTAGGGTGAAAGAGAATTGGTTAAAGTATCATTTTTGTAATATTTTTGAAAATTTCAAAAATACCTTAAAAATAGAAGAAAAAAATGCATAATATGCAATTACTAAGAAAAAAATAAAGCAATTACCAATAAATCCTAAAAGGATGTCCAACTAGGCATCAAAACTCTTTTTGAATTTTCTATTTCTGTTTTTTCTTTGTTTTTTGTTTAACAAAAGCAAACTAAAATAAACAAATAAAAATATTTACAATGCATGAACCTAGGATATAAGATTCAATGCATGAATATACACCTAGGTCTACACGCCCACCTCACCTACTTCTTAGGGTACTCAACCTCATTGGTAGCCCTCGAGACTTTCAATTAGGTTGAGATGGTGAGCCTCTCAAGGTCCTCGCTTCTCACCTGCACTTGTTTTCCCTTCCTATCACTCGGGTTAGATTGGGAATGGGTGGGGGACACACTATCTTTTCTCTGGATTTTTTAAATCAATTTTTATTTTGGGAGTAGAAGGATGCTTGTTCAACCTAGCTTGTGAGCCTTTTGGTGGTGAAGAATTTCTAGGCTTAGGCTCACTCGATCTACCTATAAGCTTGGTAAGGTTAAACATTTTTTTATTCAAAGCATTGGATTGATTATCTAGGAGTATGAGCTCCTTATTTATGACTTCCCTAGAATACATGCAGTGTGAACTATAGTGACCATATTCTCTACAAGTGATACAAACAAGTTGTTTGGCATAGGGTTCCTTAATAACCGAGTTGATTAAGTTCTTACCCTTATGATTTTTAGACTTTGGTTCACTTGTGGGAGTGATTGGTTCACATTAATCATCACAAAAAAGGTTATGGAGGGAGTGGTGGTGATGTGCTCATTTGTGTACACTAAACCATGTTTGTCACCAACACTCCTCCCTATAGACAACATTTTATCCAATTTTTTTGAACCTAGGGAAAGTCTTTTCGAGAGTTTTTGTGACCCTTGAATGTCTCTATCAAGTTTGATCAATTTAAACTAAGGACTATTCTTCGACTCTACTAGTTCATGACACTCACTCTCAAGAAAGCTCAATTTTTATTTGAAGGGATTATTCTCTTCTTCAAGCCTACAAATATTTGTTTTGGACTTCACCAAGTCCACATGAAGTGCTTCTTTCTCTTCTTCACTCATTGTGAGCCTTAAGCTCAATGCATGCACTTTCTTCTTTTGTTTAAGGAGGTCATATGAATTATAGATGTCCTCAATACTCTCCAAGTCATATTTACCGGGGTAACTTTAACTTTCAAGTCATATACCACTATGGTAGGACTTGACTCTTCTTCTTCTTCTTTTTTTTTTTTCTCTCAACTCCCTTGCTAGAAGTTTATCTTGAAGGGAGGAATGTGAGCCAAAAAATTGTAAAATTCTCCTCATCATCTTGAGAAATAGAGTCCTCATTCAATGTGGACTCACTATCATTATCACAACATTTTTCTTTTATTGTTCTCCTCCTTTCTTTAGGAATGTCTTTTTTCTATGTGAGCCAAAAAAATTGTAAAATTCTCCTCATCATCTTGAGAAATAGAGTCCTCATTCGAAGTGGACTCACTATCATTATCACAACATTTTTCTTTTATTGTTCTCCTCCTTTCTTTAGGAATGTCTTTTTTCTTCCTACTAGGACATTCCATAGCCAAGTGACCAAACAATTGCACTCAAAGCATTGGAGTTATTGTCCCTTCTTTTTAGTCCCTTGCTGAATTTTTCTTCCCCGTCTATTCTCTCTTCCTTCCTTAGGAATCCTAGGTCTACTTAACTTACCCTTCGACCTAGAGGACTCAACACTCTAGCCTTAAAATATATTTTGAACTTCTTTGCAAGAAAGTCTAGGCCTTTTTGTCCCAAGTGACGTGACTCCGA